TGGTCTTCATTATCTCTGGGAAGGAGGGAGAGCGTGAGGGAAGGGGGGAGAGAGAGAGAGAGAGAGAGAGAGAGAGAGAGAGGAGGGAGAGACAGACATACACAGAAAGGAAGAGAGAGGCATGGGTGATCAAGGTGGAGATGGGGTTTAGGGAGCAGGAGATATACAGTCGGACATCCTCCCGACAACCAAGGGCTCAGGCTGCCTAAAAGGGCACCTGAGAAGACCCATGGTAATCCCAAACAGTTGTGGTTTGTTGCCTGATGTTAGCATAGGTTCAGTCATATTTTCAGGTAGAACAAATGTATACATCAATACACAGAATGTGCAATGCAGGCAGGCATGATTTTCTATGAGAACCGTAACTGAATGGATTTCCTGGATTTAGGATAAAAAATTTTTGTTTTATTTATTTTGTCTGTGTGCGCACCATATCACATGTGGTGAGGTCAACCTGTGGGAGTCACTTCTCCCCTCCACCACATGGGTTCCAGGTATTGAACTCAGATCAGTCTTGGCAGCAAGTGCCTTTACCATGCCACTAGTCCAAGATCTTATTTTTTAATCTACAAACTCAACTCCATAATATCAAGAGAAGAGTTAATTTGCATTTTAAGTTCCCAAAGACCAAACAACAAAAATAGAATCTACATTTAGAGATAGGACCTGCTACTAATACCAATATAATTTTATTGGAATTTGGAATGTAAACAGATGTTTCAAACAAACAATCTAACCTTATAAAAATGTATGGCATTATTAAATAGTTAATAAAGAAATCCTACGTGTGATGTGGTGGTAGATACCCCTAGCTCTACCCTAGGTATGTTCCATCCCTAGAGCTGAGGCAGGGCTCTGCAACCAGGGGGAGGGAGACCAGCTAGCAAACCATGTCAGTGACAAGTCCCCAAAATGAAATCAGCCCTACTGGAAAACAACAACAACACAAAATCCAGCTCTTGCTAACGTGAAGGTTAGCACAGTGGATCGAGAGCTTTGACACTTGCTCCAGAAGCTCTACTTCCTTCTCCCAGCCCCTGTCTCTTCCTCTCTTGCCAGCTGCTGGAGTCACAGGACAGCCTTGTCCACACACCAGCACCTGCATGTGAGAGAGATTTCTTTGCCACCACATTCACATATGACGTATCAGAGCCTCAATTGCATGTTACCCTGATTACAGTCAGAAATTGTATAGGGATTAAGAAGAGGGAAGCAGGGTGGGTATGCCTTTTCACTTTGGGGAGGTCTTTCCTGAATAAATCCTAATAGGACATTTTCTCTCTCCTTGGTCTGCCTGAAAACTGACTTTCCAGCTTTAGCTATGGTTGCGAACAAAAACGGTTTTTGTTTTGAGAGAGGTACATTAAAATAGATGCACACACAGGGATGTGCTTGGCAATGGTGAGGTTTTTTCCTTACAAGGCCAGAGGAAAAAAAGCTTAAAAAAAAAAAAAGAGCAAGATTCAATGGGTAGGCAATAAACAAAGGTGAGCCCCAAGTTATGCACTTAGCATGGAACTTCTGATGCGCCTGTGAACCTGTTTATGGCAGCATTTCATTTACAGTGACGCCTCTGACATCAAAGAGGACTAGTTGAAAGTGACTACAGTTTGCTCCCAAACAAATACTTAGAGGAAAACTGCAGGAATGAGGTACATTTCCTGGAGAGCTCATGTTATAAAAAAATACATAACACATGAATTTGTAAAAGAGCTTAAAAAAAATACTGTCCCTGTTTTCATTTTTTTTTTTTTTTTTTTTTTTTGTGTAAATGAGGCTGGTGTGTCAGAATAGACTGCTGACTTTTGCTAAAACTTGAGCCTGAATTCTCACAAAAGAAAACCAGACCATGATGGAATAGATAGGAAGTCAGACATTCAGAGCTTGTTGAGCGAACAGGTTAATTCAACAGTGGTATTCTGTTAAACGCAGGTAAGTGGACAACAACTCCGAGCTTCTCATCTCCCATGCATTCCAAAGGGAGAGTCCCTCAGATCCTGAACTACACGACCGCCATGCTGCACAGCACAGCGCAGCTCCCTGCAGACTAGTACTGGGGAGTTTCTTGCTTTTGACAGACTTTTAAGTCTTTACTCTTCTTTGCCTTTAGAAGGAATGATTAGAATTTCTTTTTTATCACACTGTAGTTTCCTTCAAGTTTGTGTTTGGTTGGTTGGTTTTATTGGCAAGCATCAGAGCCGCATTACCGTCGCTTCCCAGGCTTCATCGTGCTGCGCTGAGACCACTAGAAAGCACGGCATTCTCTGCGCAAGGCTGGGACTGCTCCTTCACCACTGGGTCTGTAAGAGAGGAGTGCAGGTCCTCATGTTAGACAAGCTATAGTGCAGTGGGCATGCTACAAGTTCATGCGCCCATCCTCTTTCACATGGAGAAACACGTAGAACTCAGGTGACACAAAAACTAGGCACCAAGACAGGATCAGAAAATGCTTTTTTTCTTTTTGACCCCAGTACTTGGGTTAGAACCTGTAACCTCACACTTACCAGGCAGTCAATCTACAACTGAATCACAACCCAAACTCTTTCTTCAAAATTTTATTTTGGGGCAGAGTCTCGCTAAGTTGCCCAGACTGGTTCTGAACACTGTTTCAGTACCAGCCTCCAGCCCAGCTGGGATTACAAGGATTATAGACCATCATACCTGCTGGGGCATTTTCTTGGAGGCAACTCTTCTACCTCCTCAGAATCTAGACCCGATTGCTGAGAAGCACAAAAGCCCTAATTTGCCACTGTTCAAAACTCTAACTTGCCTGCATGTATATAAGTACACCAGGGTCATGCAATGCCCTTGAAGGTCAAAAGAGGGTGTTGGATTTCCCTGAAACTGGAGTTACAGACAGTTGTTAGCCGCCATGTGGGTGCTGGGAATCGAACCTGGGTCCTCTGCAAGAGCAGTGAGTGCTTTTAACCACTGAGCCATCTCTCCAGCTCCTAATTTCTTTAAAGCACATCACAAAAAAGGTGAACAAAAAGTCAGCAGAAGTCCATTGATTTTTAAGCAACAATGAAACAAGCAGTCTATTTAGGAAAGTAGTCTTGGTTGTTTTTTCATTTTTATAAAAAGAAATATTTCATTTATTATTTTTATGTGTACGAGTGTATAATTTACATGTGTATAAGTGTACCCATGCAATGCCCACGGAGATCAGAGAGAGAGTTGGATTCCCTTGGAACTGGAGTTATGCAGATAGTTGTTAGTCACCATGTGGGTGTTGGGAATCCATCCCGAGTCCTCTGCAAGAAGAGTCAATGCTCTTAACCACTGAGCCATCTCTCCAGTCCCTGTTTCACCATGTAGCCTAGGCTAGCCTTGAACTTGCGATTTCTTATGCATTTGCCTCATTAGTTTATACCAGTATTTTTTTTCAAGATTTTTAATTATGTGCATGTGTATGGGTATGTGTACATGAGTGCAGGTGCCCACAGAGGCCAGAGACGTCAGAACCCCTGGAGCTGAAGTTATGAGCAGTTGTGAGGTGCCTGATGTGGGTGCTGGGAACTAAACTTGGGTCTTCTGCAAAAGCAGTATACATTTTTATCCACTGAGCCATCTCTCTAGACCAGCAGTATTCTTAGAGTGATCTACCTTAAAAGGCAAGAAGAGCTTTTTGTGATGGAAATCAGAAAGTAGATGTGGGAAGGGGAAGACCTCTAAATCTGTTGTCTCCTTATATTTCTGCCCTAGGTCCAAGACTGAAGCAATTATAGTCTTACAAACAGACCTAGTTTAATTCTAAGGGAAAAAAGGAGAGGGAAAGATAGCACGGTGGTCAAACAACAGACAAAAACCTTAAGGAATGAGTGTTCACCACAATTCAGAGGGTGAACTGGGCCAAGTCATTACAAAACCTTATTTCCCAATCTTCTCCCTGATTGAACTAAGCTATCTCTTATAGTCAATGATACAAGGAAGTGCACTTGAAGCTTTCAGTGGGAAGAACTATGTACACTCAGATTATAAGCAAGGATACAGATTGAATGTACACATGCTCTGTGGGAGATGAAGTCAGAATTCAGCAAGGTTGGGTTGTTCCCCTGCCTCAAATTCCTCTTATTCATTTACTGCCTCCTTTAGAAACATACTGTAGTTACCTTATTACTTTTAACCCATTAATTTTTTAAAGGGAAAAATAATCTTTGGTTAGGTTTTTATACCCATGTATACACTTGAAAATAAAACTTAAGGAGGCACAGGGCTGGAGAGATGGCTCAGCGGTTAAGAACACTGAATGTTCTCGCAGAAGACCTGGGTTTGATTCCCAGAACCCACATGGCAGCTAACAACTGTCCGTAACTCCAGTTCCAGGGGATCCGACAGCTTCTTCTGTCCTCCATGGGCATTGCATGACACAGGTGCACTTATCTACATGCAGGTAATACATACATACACATAAAATTATATATATATATGTGTAAAATAAAAACAAAATAATAAAACACTTAAGGAGGCTGAAGAGATGGCTCAGTGGTTGAGAGCACTGGATGCTCTTGCAGAGGACCAGGGTTCGACTCCCAGCACCCACATGGTGGCTAACAACTGTATATAACTCCAGTTCCAGGGGATCCAAAACCCTCTTCTGACCTCTGTGGGCACTGCACAACATAAGTGCACTTATATACATGCAGGTAATATACTCATACACATAAATAAAAACAATAAAATAAATTAAGAAAAACAAATCTTAGATATCTTTAACCTATAAGCTCACAGTGACAGCTTGGCCTTGGAAGAGCTACCAAAACACACCTTTGGAAACTAAGTCACATGTAAAGACATCATGGTTATCTAGAATGAATGAAATTTGAAGTCAAATTCCCAGGATGTGCAATCCAAATACCTAGAGTTCACCTGACTGATCTCAAAGACAATGGTGACTTTTGGGGTATCTTTTAATAAGTTGTAGCCTCTGGAAACAGTCCCTGCACTCACAGAAGTATGGGTGCTCCATGGCCTCTTTGGCGGTCAGTCTCTGTTGATGGTCGTACCGCAGGAGCTTGTCAAGAAGATCTAGGGCCTCAGGGCTGACAAGGTGTCTGTTCTCACTATGTATAAAATTTTCCCAGCGTTTCCGTGAATGTCTGAGAAAAAAGTGAAGCATTAGTATTCTGAGATGAAACATAAGAACCTCCTTTGTGAGAGCCAAAGCCAATGAGGCCTTAGAATATGGCACCAAGTACTAATTGGCCAAAGTTCCTTCTTATTGGATCTACTTCAAATAGGTGGGCACAGGTACACCCTATCTCTCCTGAGTTATGCAACAGCATCCGAAGACAAAACTGCTGCATCATTAGCCAAGCAGAATTGGTTAAAACATCTACATTTGATTGAGAACTTGTAGAATCTTGATGGATTATTTGCATGCCTCATTCTTTGCATCAATTGTTGAGTAAGGCATGACAATGACTGAGTAATGTCACTGGTCAGCACATCTATTTAGAGAGTGGGCTTCAGAAACAGGTGGTTTCATGAAGCAATGTCTGGAAACCATCAGCCAAACATCTGTATAACATATTGCACTGAAGCTGGCTGTGGAGGTGCACACCTATAATCCTAGCACTCGGGAAGCTGAGGCAGGATCTTTGTGAGCTTGAGACCAGTCAGGGCAACACAGAAAGATCTTGTCTGAACAATAGCAACAACAACAACACCCCTAAATAAACAATGAAAACCTGCATTGTACTTAAAAATTCAGTATGCCTTACTTAATACTTTTCACAAAACTTAATATTTGTTATAAAACCTACTTTAGGAAACAAACTATTTCTTATTCAAATAATCAATTTTCCAAGTTTGCCATCAAAATAAGCACATTTTACCCAGAAAACTTGTTTTTGTAACAGTATGATTTTTTCCATTTCCTTCAGCAGGATCTTGTGATTTAGCCCAGGCTGCTTTTGTTTGAATTCAATGATCCGCCTGCCTGAGCCTCCCAGGTGCTGGGATTGGAGGCTTGCACCTCTACACATACAGATAATCTGATAAGTAAAACAATTATTAGAAGACTAAAATGATTATTAGAAGACTTAGTAAATAAGGCCAATATCTCAAATTAGGTTAAAGAAAATGTAAGCTTAAAAAAAGGATAATTCAAGCCAGGCGTGGTGGTGCCCGCCTTTAATCCCAGCACTCAGGACGTAGAGGCAGGCCAGCTGGGGCTTACAGGGAGACTCTGTCTCAAAAAGACCAAAAATAAATAAATAAATAAATAAATAAATAAAAGATAATTCAATTTTGTTATTAGAAAAGGAAAACAAAGTGATTTTTGTCTAGCCTTTTCACTTCTGAAATGGGCAAAGTGCATGCTTGCTCGCCGCCACCTCCCTGCCCCAACTTACTGTCCCAGGATGTCATTGAAATGAGGATCTAGGTCTATGTGGTACTTCTTCAGATACCCGTAGAGCTCATCTGTCCCCAGAACCTTGGCAATGCGAACAAGCTGAAACATAAAACAAACTGACCAAATCACCAAGCAGAGTTTCCTGTGAGCCTGTGAGGATGCAGGACCTGGGAATCAGGTGATTCTACAACATTCAAATCTCTGGGGACTCAACCTGTATCTAGGACAAGCAAAGAGACTTAAGGACACAAGGCTTGCATTAATGAAAATTGCTTTTGAAGGGCTAACAGATAATTTAGGAGCTAACATCTATAGTGACATCGAAATCTAATGACTAGAACCCAGTCTCATTAGACAAAGTGGTGTTGACTTCTTAGATTCACTTTGGAGGTTTAGCACAGGTTATCGCTGCATATTTAGGGTCCTTGTAAATAGACAAAATTCTAAGCAACTCTTAGTTTACAGAAAACCGTGTGCAGACAGTAACATTTTGTGGTTCACAGAGAGTATTCCTGTGCTGGATGCTATTTTCTTGGCAGTCATGCACAAATAAACACAAGCCATGTTTGCTCACCTGGTCATAGTTGTCCTGTCCATGGAAGAAGGGCTCCTTTCGAAAGATCATGCTTGCTAACATACAGCCCAAGCTCCACATGTCCAAGCTGTAATCATACATCTGAGGACATGAAGGAGAGTCAATCAGTCAAGGGTGTTAGAAACCCTTTTCACTGATCTGAGTTTGTCTTCATCAGACTTTTGAAGATTCTTATTTCTAAGGTACAGGGGATTGGACCTAGGGCTTTGCACAAGCCAGGCGAGTGCTCTACCGACAAGTTCCGACCCTAGTCCTGCTGGTTATTTTAGAATAGTCATTTCATTCCCTTAAAAAAAGGGCTCAGCCAGTAAGGCAAGAGCCACCAAACCTGACAACCTGAGTTCAAAACTGATTCCTGTCTTCTGACCTCTACACATGGGCTATTCTGTCTCTCTCGCTCTCTCTCCCCTTCTCTCCCCTTTACAAACATTCAAAAAATATAGTTGAAGCACGGTGTGGTGGCACATCTCTTTAGTCCAAGCACTCAGAAGGCAGAGACAGGCAGATCGCTGAGAGATGGAGGCCAGCATGGTCTACATAGCCAGTTCCAGACCAGCTGGGGCTACAGGGAGACCCTATCTCAAAAGAAAAAAAAAAAAAAAAAAAAAAAAAAAAGTAGAGAAAATCTGTAATTACCTTTTTGGGGCAGAATAATGACTGGGTTTTAAATGCATCCAAACTGACTGCACAAGGAAATAAACAACCCACTTCATTAACAAGTTCACCTGATAGTCCACAAGGAGCTCTGGTCCCTTAAAGTATCTCGAGGCCACTCGAACATTGTACTCCTGAGCAGGATGATAGAACTCTGCCAGACCCCAATCAATCAGTCGTAGCTACCAACAAGACAAAACAAAACATGAAAGGAGCACTTCTAGATGCCTGTACCTAGGACAAGGCCACAAAGCAGGAGCGGGTGCACCCACTAAAAAATTTACACTTTAAAAACTGCCCGAAAAGTCATTTCTGGGACAGAGCACTTGGAATGCTTTCTTTCCCTTTTCAATTTAACTTGTCCTGTTTTTTTTTTAAAAGTCTTTCTATAGCAATAGTTCAACCTTTTTCAGTCTTCACACTATTTATATGTGGAACACATTCATTCACAGTTCTTAATATCAGCTCCAGGCACAACTGAAGAGACTAGGGGTATATGCCCCACTCCAGGGCTGAAGCACTACTCTAAATATGTCATTAAGCAAATGCTCGCTAATCCATGTACTCACCAATCAGGGACAACCAGAGCTGGATATCAAAACCAGGAGAAACCCAAGCAGACTTTTAAGATCAATCAGACTGGTCTGAGGGTCATTAAGAAGTAAAGCAAAATCACTGCTGTAGTCTCTGAGGCTCTTTGGAAAACTAAGACCAATATAAAGCCAGTGACAACTGTCCAGGGTCACCTGCCCACTTTCCTGGTAGAAACCAACACTGGAGACTGGAGAAGTCACAGTAACCCAAGTCTGCCAAAGGAATCGGCATGGTCTATAGACACCATGTTGGTAAAGGCCAGTGTTTTGGTCTGTCCTAAGTCTCCAGCAAAGGTCTGGTGCTACCTGGCTGGATTGGTACCTTTTTTTGTTGGTGATCTATCATGACATTGTGAGGTTTCACATCCCTGTGCATGATTCCCTTGCTGTGGCAGTAATCCAGAGCCTAGTAGGTAAGAAAGCACAGAGAAAAGTAAGAACACCCTCTGCCACCCACGATGCAAACACATTCTTGTTATTTGTGACACCCTAACTTGAATACAGTCTCCAAAAAGGGGCAGCCTGTAAGGAAGAGGAAAAACATGCTTCAGAAGGTGCCCCTTGCTCTCTGTGCACACTACGGCTGGCAGCTAGGAGAAAAGGGGCTAGAGGCCGACATGCTGAAGGTTGCTTTTAAAAGGGGAAATGATAAACCAAGTGTGGGACCTCACCAGAGTCATCTCTCATAGAGGTTCAAATGACATGTCAGAATCCATGTGGGCATGAAGAATGACGTCCAAACATATCTTTCAACATGGCGGACTCATAGACATGTGAGCCATGGGAGTTTTCTAGATTAAGAAGCATTGATATTTTCCTTCAATTTGAAGCCTGAGCCACGTGGCTTTTAGGAATTATCTTTATTACTGTAAGGGAGAAAATTACTTCTTGCACTATATCAGTATAAAAGACTTAAATGTTCAAGCCAATGATTTTCAGTAAATTGAGCTGTGTGATCTTTGCCACAATACATTTTAGAGCTTTCCATCAACACACCCCCCTTGTTCCCTTGAACTCATCTGTAGTTAATCTCTCTAATCCAAACTATTCCCAACCACTGATCTGTTGCTAGAGATCTGCCCTTTCTGGCTGGACGTTCCTAACAGTACACTACTTTACCTACCTTCCTCCACCAAGAACGTTTTTGATGAATGTCTTAGTTTATGAGCACTTGGGTTCTTTCTATTTTGGGGCTGTACAGAACAATGCTTAACACTCACGTGCAAGTCTTTCAGAGGCATATGCTTCCATTTCTTTTGGGCAGATTCCTTGGAGCATAGATACTGAGCTGTCTGGTAATTTTACATTTAACTTTTATGATTTTAAAAAAATTTATTATTTTTATTTTATGTGTATGAGTATATTGCCTGCATGTATGTAAGTGTACCCACATCATGCAATGCCTGCAAAAGCCCAAAGAGGGTGTTGGATCCCGTGGAACTGGAGTTATGGATGGTTGTTAGCCACCATGTGGGTGCTAGCAACTGAACCTGGGTCCTCTACAAGAGCAGCCAGTGCTCTTAACCACTGAGCCATCTCTCTAGCCCCTAAAAGAACTGCCAAGAGCTGGGTGTGGTGGCGTATGCCTGCAGTCTGCAGTCCTAGCACTTGGGAGGCAGAGGCAGGCGGCTCTCTTGAGTTCCAGGCCAGATGGGGCTACAGGGAGACCCTGTTTCCAAAAAAAAAAAAAAAACCTGCCAATTTTCTCAACTCCAACACATGATGGTTCCAGTAATTCTTGCCAACACTTGCCACTGCTCTTTTTTTTTTTTTTTAAATTACAGCTATTCTGGAGGGTTAAAGTGTATCTTATCGTGGTTGTGATTTCTATTTCCCTACTGATGAAACTGAACAACTGTTAATAGTTTACTAGCCATCATATATTTACATTGCTTTTGAAGAAATGCTGATACAAATGTTCCATTTTTTAATTTGGATTAATAAGCCTTTTGGTTTCTTCTTGCTATGCAGCTTAGACTAGCCTGCTACTCTTTCTGTATTCCAGACTGGCCTCAGACTTTCAATCCTCCTGCCTTCCATGTGTTGGGATTATAGGCATGCTTGCTGCACCCAGCTTTTGTTTAAAAAAAAAAAAAAAAAATGCTGTTAAGCCATTCTGTTTGTTTTTTTGAGACAGGGTCTCCCTATAGCCCTAGTTGGCCTAGAACTTCCCAGTGCTGGGATTAAAGGGGTGCACTGCCATACTCTTTTTTTCTTTTTTTTGTCTTTTTGAGACAGAGTCTCCTTGTAGCCCCAGCTGTCCTGGAACTCACTATGGAGACCAGGCTGGCTTCAAACTCACAGAGATCCACCTGCCTCTGCCTCCCAAATGCTGGGATTAAAGGCATGCACCACCACATCCGGCTTACTCTTTTCTTAATGCAATGGACCATGTACATGAAATCCAAAGTTAGGGCCTTTGGCTTGTCTTAAAGGCACTGGAGGGGCTGGAGAGATGACTCAGAGGTTAAGAGCATTGGCTGTTCTTGCAGAGGACCAGGGATCAGTTCCCAGCATCCACATGGTAGCTAACAACCACTCATAACTCCAGTTCCAGAGGAATCTGATGCCCTCTTTGACTTTGTGGGCATTGCATGACACAGGTGTACTTACATACATTCAGGCAATACACTAATACATAAAAAAAAGACACTGGAAGGCAGCATGAGGTTAAATGAAACTACTTCCCAAGCAATAACCACAGGGGCCTAGGACCCTAGTGCACACAGCACCGAGTGTTCTTGATGAAGTTTTCCATGGGGTTGTTTACAACCTTGATACCAGCTAGCATTTGGGGCCAGATAATTCCCTCTCTCTCTCTCTCTCCTCTCCCCCCCCCCCCGTGTGTGTGTGTGTGTGTGTGTGTGTGTGTGTGTGTGTGTGTAGGGAGGGGTATTACTTATTAAAGAATGTTTTCCAAAATGCCTGGCTTCTACCCACTAGGTGCTGGTTGTGCCCCTCCAGTTAGAACAACCAAAAGTGGTTCTAGAGGTTCTAAATACCAGGTATTTCCTAGAAAGCACTTGACCTGACTGGGGAACAGAGGCAGACTGAAAAGGCATCCGTACAAGCTACCTTTATATTGGAAGAATACATAAGCCAGAAAATGATGCCCAGCATCAGCATGGCAAGAACATGGTCCCCTGGCCTGTAGCAAACTTTGTTTTCCTGACATAATAGTATACAATGTATGACGCTTTTATTCTGAACTTCAGAACAAGCAATACTAAACTATGCAGACAGAGGTAAGAATAATCTTCAAGGCAGGCAGTACACGCAAGTTAAGGTGTGGAAGAGAACCTTCTGGGTAGCTCTTCATTTTCTCTGCCAGTCCTGCTTGATACAATTTTCTGCAGCTAAGGGAAACAATATGTAGTTTAATTGTACAGCACAGGAGCCACTAAGTCTCTAAGCACGTGGAATGTGACTAGTATCCCATCCCATGGCTAGAGGTCTGAATTCTTAGTTCTGCTTGAAAAGTAATTTTTTTGGTCTTTTTGAGACAGGGTCTCCCTGTAGGCCCAGCTGGCCTGGAGCTTGCTATGTAGACTACGCTTGCCTTGAACTCAGAGATCCGCCTGCCTCTACCTCCTGTGTGCCACCATGCCCCAGTGTTCTTCTTAATTCAAATGGCTACTGCAGTTGTAGGGGCATCTGCCCAAAGGCTGTATATATGTAAAATCTAAAATTAAGTACACTTAAGACTTTTATTCATTTCACTTCCATTCTACTTCCATTTTTGCTTTGCTTCCAACAGTTGCAGCAAGATTCCAATGTGTCTTGTAATGGTGCCTTATGAAACCAGGGTCCATGAGCATACATCTCCTTGAAGCTGAATCAGATCAGACAAAGCCTCTGAGCTTTGTCTCTGAGCAGGCACACACAGCCCTCAGGTCTTCTACATTTTTAGTTAAGTTTATTTCCAGTTCCCCACTCCTAATTTTTCTTTTCCAAACAAGAAAACTTAGCAATGTTGTTGTCTGTCATTTCACCTAGTCTTTGCAGAAGAAATAAGCGAATGAGAGCTACAATACCAGGGATGTGGAAAATACCCGATGAAAGCAAAAGCTGGACAAACACGGTAAGACAATTCATTCTTTGGCAGGTTTACTAGCCAGACACCCCATGGAGTTACTGACATGCTTTTAAATTCCTTGAGGAATTATTTCAGTTTTAAAATTTGGTACAGTTTCTAATCACTTAGCATGAAAGACCATTCTCAAATTTCAAATGGGATTCTATGCCTCATCACTAGGAAGCAATTTGATATAGTGACCTCCAGAAAGTAGGAAGGTCATCAGGCATTGACAGTTGTCAGGACCAGCCTGTGAAGACCTCCATTACTCATCTGAGGACAACTGTACTAGGTTATATCTTTTCCTAGCTGGTGCTAGCTAAAAACTGCAAATCTCAATCCCAGATTTAAGCACTGTGAGAATGGACTGTAGCTTTCATGAGGTGCATACATGGGACACCCCACAAGAAAGGGACAGTCTGATGGTCTCAGGACCTGACACTGCAAACATCTTCCACACCAGGCTTCTATTCTGGTCTAGAGAGGACTTGGAAAAGGTGGACTGTGCAAAAGTTCTATTCTGTCCTCATCAGCAAAACAAAGGCTCAGTAGACATGGGGAAATCCTAGATCTACCATGGCGTCTCTAATGACAGGTGGCTTATACAAGCATAATCATAAGTGAAGGCATTCATTCCACAGAACCAGCTCTTCAAACTTCCATTCCCTAAAGTGTAGCCTTGCTTCAACTTGGCATTTTTGTCCTAGTAGTGTTTCATAGTTCCCATCCAAATCTCATCTTGGCAATTCTCTTAATTGAGTAGAGATCCATGACCACTGACCCCAACTTTATGCCCTACTCTATATATTTTTATATGCACTTTGCGGGGGGGTGGGGGGCAGAGTTCACAGTTCTTATGACATTCTTAGTGGCCCATTAACCCTAAAAGTTACATGCAATCTTTTTAGAATCCTTTGCTGAAGTGTTACCCATTCCTGTGTCAATCGATAATGCTTAAAAATTTCATAGTACCTGGTATTTTTAAGTCACTCAGAAGGTCCACTCATCATTTCTCCCTGGATTAAACCAGCCAGGGCTTGAAGGAGAGCACAGGTGGTATCATACAAGAAAGGGATATTAGCCAGGCGTGGTGGTGCACGCCTGTAGTCCCAGCACTTGGGAGGCAGAGGCAGGCGGATCTCTGTGAGTTCAAGGCCAGCCTGGTCTATAGAGAAAGCCTGTCTCTGTGAGTTCAAGGATGTTAAAATGTTAAAAGATGGTTTTAAGAAAAAGATGGTTGCAAATGCCTGCTATTCTTGTTGTACACATCCCTCTATATGACTTTCCCATCAAGAAATGATAACCAGGGGCTGGAGGTTAAGAGCACTGGCTGCTCTTGCAGAAAACCCAGATTTGGGTCCCAGCATCCACATGGCCACTAACAAATAACAGTAATTCCTATTTCAAGGGATCCAGTGCCGTCCTTTGACATCTGGGGCACTGCATGAACTTGGTGCACTTACATACATGTAGGCAGAACAGTCATACATACATATTTTTTTTAAAAAGTAAGTTTTCTACCCCTTGAAGGTCTGGCCACATGACTGACTTTGGCCAAGATGATGCTGGCAAACCCAGCACAGGCAGGTTGAAAAGTGACTACACACTGAGATTTGCCCTTGTCTTGCTTCTGGAAACCCAGAAACCACCATGGAAAGCATCTTGGACTTTCATCCTGGAAGATGGGACTCAGCTATTCCAGCAGTCCCTGCTGAGGTCCCAGACACATGAGCAAGGCCATCCCAGACAATCTCATCCCACTCAAGTCAACCTGACCTAAAAAAGTAATCAGGATTAACTCAGGAAATTTTTATGTAAGAAATGAAAAATCAACTTCAAAAGTTCCTTAGTCTGAGGTAAAGTTACACAGAGAAAATGAACAGGACTAATTAAATGGCAAAGAGAAAGTCCAAGGGCTGACAAGAGCCATGAGGCTGTAATCTCTGGCATAATGATCCCATTCCTCTTGGCTGGCCATCTTTACTAGTTTCACGGAACATCTCTGTGGTCCCACACCTGAGTCCTCAACAGAAGTTAAGACTCACTAAATTCTCTGGACATCAAAAAACATTCTGCTTGAGTTCTCTGTCCTTTCAAAAAATTCTCCTTTAAGGAATGAACTTGAAAAATAATGCACTATCCATGAATGCTACTTACTTTAAGTAGTTCATACATATAAAACCGGATATCAAAGTCTGTCAGGATCTGGTAGAGTTGCTGAAACAAATTTCAGAAAACAGAAAGTTAATTCAGCCTGATTTTGTTATCCTAAGTGTTGGCCTTCCTCTGTAAACTTAGTGCTTGGGTTATTAAGGAATCCCACGACTTTATTACCTGATCTGCAATGGTAAAAATAAGGAGACCAACACTTCCAACTTCAGAGAGAGGAATAAAGAAAGAATTCCAAGAGAGGGAAACATTTAAGCTGACTTGGATCTTTAATGTTCCATGATTCTAGTAAGTACAACTACATGGCTGTGAAGTCCAAGTTATCAAGCTGTCCAATATTCTTATTGCATACCAACATTCTGAGCCCACCTAGCACCACAGCATACTCTGGAGAACTCGACTAGCCAATGTGGCCTAAGACTATTAGGGGAAATGAGACTGTTTGCCAAAGAAACATGAGGAAAGTGAGGGGCCAACATTGGGAGATAGCAAGAAATTTTCCCCAAATCTATGCCTTCAGCTGTCCTCTAAACAATTTCAGGCTGAAAAAGATTTCTCAGGTAATAATTGACATTTTAGGGATTAAAAACAAGAGTAGGGGAATGAGGCATTAAACAAAGACAGCAGTGCCACACATAATCATAAGCCAAACTGACACACATATGGAAACTTTCATTACTGATAATCTGGAAACTTACCCAATGGGAATCTGAAAGAAATTTTATTTTCTAGGAGCAGGAGTATAAGGTTCAAGGACCACAAGGCCTGCTAGACATTACATATCACCTTTGACAGTCAATTCCAAGTAAATCTCTTTCCCTATCAACCTACATATCACTTTCTATCAAATTAACAAAACAGCTTTTTTGGGGGGGGCGCTTTTTTGAGACAGGGTCTCCCTATAGCCCTAGCTGGCCTGGAACTCGCTATGTAGACCAGGCTGGGCTCGAACTCACAGAGATTCATCTGCCTCTGCCTCCTGAGTGCTGGGATTAAAGGTGTGCACAGCCACATTCTACCAAAACAGCTTTATTAAACTTTCCTTGATTGAAAAAAAAAAGACTCACATAGCAGAGAGAATCTCCTCCAAGGGACACAGAATGTTGCACGTCTGTGTAAAGGGGAAAAATAAAACCACGTATCTGTGGCTTTTTATATCTGCAAAAATGACAAAGAAACTAATAAAGAGTGGTTTTCAGGCCCTTAGGGAATTATAATGCATAAGCTACTCCGGTGCTGGGTGCTGAAGGGGGTGACAAAGGCTGGCCCAGTGCTGGGTGTTAATGGGGTGATGGCCTTGATGCAGTGCTGGAGGCTGACCCAAAGCACTGAGCTGCACGCTCATTCACCATTTCTGCCATTCAGCTTCCTAAAAACCAAAGCCCACATTTTCTGTTCTCCCAGCCCTGTGCTTAAGGCAGGCTTCTTAGCCAGCACTGGGCTATGACTGGCAACTAGAATGTGAAAGAAAGCCCAGGCTTCAGACACCATCTTGGGTGTGAAATCACTTGCCGAGGCTATGTTAAACTGAACATCAGGTCAATAAATAGCCCAGGAAAGAGAAAGATTAAATTCTTAAACTCCCAAAGAACACTGGAATTATTTTCTTTTCCAGAAAACCAATACGGGCTATTTTACTGGAAGTTTTATCTGTGTAAGCTTTTCTCTCATGTCACGTGTTGCCAGCTACAGTACACATCTGTATAAAGGGCCTAAGGTCAAAAGACAAATGTTCCTAGGCTGTCAACACAGTATTTCTAGTTATTCCAATCAGTATCAATTTTACTGACTGTGAAAGATACCACCAGCCTAAAAGTGCTTGGACTGAATCCATTACAATGCCCTGGATGACCAATCCCTTCCCAGGAGTCCTAGTGGGAGAAGATCAAAGTATATCTAGACCATGTAGCCTGCTGAGTTATAATTCAGGCCTCTTGAGGGTCCTACCTGGCTTCCTCTAATTATTGAAGCTCCAATCTCCACTGCAGCCTCCAGGAGTCACCCTCTCTGATGACACCAATCTGTGTTTGCTCCTCCATCTCCCTCTCCAGTGCTGCTCTCCCAACCCATCCATCAGCTTTTCACATAGTAAATGGCTTCTCCCACCTTTGAAGCCTTAGGCCATGTGCTTTCCATCTGAGATGTACACAGGACAATGAGAACAACAGTGTCCCTAGAATTAACAAGCACTAGCAGTGACCTGGAGTTCTGGAAGTAAATTCTCACACTGTTGTAAACACAAACAAGCCACACTTACTTCTAGGTGCCCACGCCAATGTTCCCCGAGTACCTGGCTATGTACATATGATGGGATTAACAGGTGCCCCCAGCAGATGGCCACTACTGTGATGATTTAGAATCTCTGAACTCTCCCTACCTTTCCAAGCACACCATGGGTCCCTTGCACAACTGAGCATTACACTCACTTTCTCCACACTGTATTCCAAGTCTTCTTATGGCAGGACAGCGTATGTCTAGCTTCTCCACACTGGGTGCCGACACACTTGCTGTTATAATGCTCACCAGTAAGCGGAATGAAACAGAACCTACCTTCTAAGAAACAGCAGGGTCCATAACAAATTAGAACGAGAAACTTTGTGAGAACCATGCTTTCCCTCCAGCTTAATGAAGAATATTAACTAACCAGCTGCAAAATGTTGGCAGGAAGTAAGCTTTGCTCACATCTGCATAAAGCAAGTGAGTTACCAAAAGCCAAACGAACCTATGCTTCCCAGAAGATTATGGTTGAAGAGACAGCTCAACATGTAAAGGCACTTACTTATACTGCCAAGACTGACAACTTGAGCTAGATGACCTAGGACCCATATGGTGAAGGGACTCCTACAAGGTATCCCCTGATTTACATACACACACACACACACACACACACACACACACACACAAATTGTGAAGATAGTAAGGAAAAATTTAGTAGTTCCAGTTCAGCAGCAAAGCCTCAAGCACACTTGTGTTTCCCTAGAAACCTGCTCTACTACAGAACTACTCTAAGGAGCATGAGGTAGACATGTCTTAGGCCTTTTTAGCAAACTCCAAAACGTCTGAGGTAGAGAATGGCAGACAATGCAACCCAAAAACCAGGCTCCGGACCTTCTGTGCAAAGCCACAGACACCATGGAATGGCCTCAGTAGGCCTTACTTACTCCTGCTGTATATATGCAAAGATGCTGGGGGCAGTGCAGTGCTTCACAGCCAAGCAGAGGACTCCATGATTTATGGACTCTGACCAGCACACAGAAGCACATGCAGCATTTGTACACACAGCATGAGGCTCAGTCTATGTCTGGAAAACCCAGGGCTCCCATGGAGGGAGACCAAAAAAGGAGGAAGAAAAATATAAAGTAAAAGACAAAGGGTACTTCATGCCATGGTCACCAATTTAGATGATGCTAATATGCGACCTCCAAAATACAGAATAAATTAGATGAACATTTTTAGAAATTTAAGGGAACTAGAAAAAAAATCTTTAAACAAGTATAAATATAACAAATCACCTGAGAATGTTACTTATAAGGAAATGTCAAAAGATTAATGACTAAAGTACAGTCCATTTGTTCCTCTGATGAGAATAATTTAATATACAAACTCAAACCTGAAAAGAATGAACAGGGCCCTGGTAGAGGGCTACTGCTTGGTGTCTTAGAAACTTTTCTTGTTTTTGAGTCCTAGTCTCCCTATGTAGCCCAGGTTGGCCCTGAACTCACAATTCTACCTCAGCCTCTTAAGCACTGGGTTTATAGGTGTGTGCCACTATACCTGACTCTCCCTTGAGATTTTTTTTTTACTCAAAAATTTTATTCAACAAACAAACAAAAAAATCCCAATTCCATTTCAGGAATACAAAAGTCTAAAGTTCTCATTTTGGTGGGATTTAGCCTTGTTATGGGCAGTGGTGTCACTTTTTTTAAAACAGTACTTTTCAGGGGCTGGAGAGATGGCTCAGCATTTAAGAACACTGGTTGTTCTTGCAGAAGACCTGGGTTCAAATCCCAGCACCCACGTGGCAGCTAACTGTCTGTAACTCCAGTTCTGGGAGCTCTGATGGCTTCTTCTGTCCCCCGCAGGCATTGCACAACATGGGTGCACTTACATGCAGACAATACACTCATACACATAAAATAAAAATAAATTTTTTAAAAATGTTAAAAAAACCCACAATATTTTAAAATGAAATCTACCTAACATTACATACTATATTACCTTTTTTAGGATATTAGAATAAGGCAGTTAGGTAGCTAAATTTCTGCTGGTCTGAGAAATATAACATTTGTTATCGTGGCTAATTTTCAGGAGGATTCAAGAAGACTCTGACTCTTGTTAATTTTTTAAAATACTTCACACTGTTTACTCCATCTTAAGTACTTGAAAAACAACAACAACAACAAAAAAAAAACCTATCATGTTATTTCCCCTAGTCCTGGCTGCTGGTTTTTTTGGAGGCTGCTATACTGGCCCATTCTTTGAAACAATGCATATAACTTAGCAAGACACATGCCAATTAGGCTTTAGACTGGATCAAGCCCTGAAAAATACCTTCTAAACAGAAATTCTGTCTTCTCCTTTCATTCTGAAATAGAACTGCTGGGCATGTGATTGGAACCATATATGAAGCAGGCTGTCTTGGTCTATAAGAGTCTCACTACTCTCTCCTTTGTAGGAGAGAGTCAATTGTAGGTAGGGGTCAATAGGCAATACAGCCTTCAGGTAGTAGCTACTGATGCTAATATCCATAGCAACCTCCATCAAAGTGATTCCTGATTTGAGAGTCCTTGGGGGCACCTGGGACCTGACCTTGCTAATGATAGCCACATAGGGCCGTAAGGCTCAGCTGGTCATCCCTGGGTGAGGAGTGGTCAGGGTCACTATAGATCTGAGTCAGAGCTGAGCTCAAATTTCTTTTTTTTTTCTTTGTAAAATTGTAGCTCTTGTCCTGCCTTCCTCCAGCTGCCTCAGGGCCATATGTAGCTCCTGATAGAGAATTTCTGGTGACTCTTGCTCTTTCATGATCCAATCCAGGGTCATGTAGCTGT